TTATATAGGGTATAATTTACTCCTATACCTTGATTTTCTTCCTTTTTAAAATCATAATTTCTTTCCTCTTTAATATTCAAATATTGAATCAAACTAAAACAGCCAACCCGAGGCGGACCGCCGGCCCGGGCGGCGACGCCATCACCGGAGCACAATGGAACCACCGTGCTGGATTTTTGAAATTGGTTGAGTGGGTCCTAGGACTAATTTTGGATTTATTTGGAATATTTGTAGGTACTATAAGTGTGTTTCAGTTTTCGGAAAAAAAATTCAGGGAACCTAAGGACCGCCCGTAGGCGCAGTAAACCGTTTAGCTCTTCGGTGTTAAATCGAGTAAAGGTCTCTCACCTTATTCTCTATCATAAAATTAAAGTCTAAATAAATAATAATGTGGTATTTTTTGCGATTTTAGTAACCATGCATAATTAATTACTGATTGCTAATAGAGTCTGAACTGAAAATTGTTCTATGTTAATCTCTGTTGATGTATTTTATAGTCTAAAAGCATGATAGTGTCTTATTGATTTATATTATGGTTTGAATGCATGAATTGTTGACTTACGTGACTGCTACTTGGTTTGAATTTAAAACATGATTTCATTACCTGATGCATGTTTATTTGCTTATGTGATTATGTTTGATTTGGAAATGGAGACTAAAAGAAAATGGGAAAGGGGTGTGATTAAATAAACAGATAGAACGACAATCTTACCGGATATCTTGGGAGATAGTGGACAGACAAGGTACATAGGGAACCCTACCGTGAACGTTGTCTCATACCGGATATAGTATGGATGCTGAATAATTTGGCGCTCATACCGGATGGGATATGGGGACGGCCTGCTTCACCCTTATACTGGACGAGATATTGAGATTTAATGATTTGGCACTCATACCTGACAGGGTATGGGGATGGCCCTGTAATTGAGATTGTTAAAGAAAATAGTTCACGTGTAGCGAGAACATCCCTATGAACCCCCATGGATACTAGTAGGCTGGTGAAAAGAGAAATAGTTATGATTTAGTTTATCGTTAATGGTTATGGATTTATGATATGTTCTATGTTGTTGATTTTTCATGAAGTTATGATCTGTATGGTATTATTGTTTTATAGGTTGTTTTCTTAAAATTTCACTATGATAAGTGAACGACAAATTGTTTTATTTTTAATAAATGTATTGTTTTAAATTTAATGCTCCATTAGTGGTTTTCGATTTTATACCAATATCTGTTTCTGTGTCGGTGATATAGTGTGATATCCTTACTGAACTAGTATATCTCATCCTTTATTTAACCATTTCAGATCAAGAAGACCAGATTCCAGAGCCCGATCTGCAAGAAGATTGCGAGTAGATGATAGATATTTTCCATTTTCTATTTGTTTCCTTATTTCTCGTGTTTCTATAAAAGAATTAATTCTGTAATGCTGTTCAGTACCTTATAGTTATTATGTAAGGAATGTAAATCTTAACCTTTTATTTTTCTTCCGTATTTAAGTTATTATATATTTCCTTTTGGATTTCTAGGGCCATTATATGTTCCAATTTTGATTTTTATCATACTGTAGAATTGAAATATAATGTGGTTAATATCATATTTAGTTTTGAGTAAAAATAATCAGGTGACTATTGTGTAATCGTTAATTAATGACACAAACCATAGAATCTTAGAAATATTAGTTATGTAAAATGGTTGCCAAATATCATTATGAATTAATAAAAATATAATTAAATTTTATTTATGGCTAATAATAAATGTCACATGCTTATATGTAAACTTCCATATTCTGAATTTTTAAATAATGATAGAAACATCTCTTTTAAGATGTAAACGGATGGGTGCCAAAGTCTTTTATAATGAAACTAAATCTTATTTATGAGACATGTAGTAATAATAGAGAAGGATCGTACATGTGTAACTAAGTAGTAGAGTCTGTTTCTAACTTCGGCGTGTTCAATTATTTCCCTCAAATATCAGTCTTGAAAGTCACAATGAGAAAAGTCAAATATGACTTTGTAATTCTTGTGATAATTTACTTACTGATACAAAATTAGTACATAATTAGAAACATGTAATATATTTTGAGGATAATGGTAGGGCTAAACTTAATATTGCCTTTAGTTGCAATAATTTTGAGGGAACCGTCTGTATTGATAATCTTTTTATTAATTGGACATGGAACATATATAAAAAAATTTTAGAATTATTAGTCATATGATCTATGACTCCTGAGTTTATAATCTAAGAACTTTCAGAGAATTTATCTGACGCATTTAATACATATGAGGTAAAATTTACTACTTGAACATGAAACATATATCAAAAAATATTTAGAAGTATTGATCATATAATATGTGGCTCCTGAGTCTATAATCCAAGAATTTTCAAAGAATTTATCTTAGGCATTTAGTTCATGTAAGGTAGAAGTCATACTTTAGTGTGCTAATAAATTGACACCTATTTGTTTCTTTAGATATTCAAGTCGAACACTTATTTTCAATCTCCACTGTGAATTTACTAGATCTAAAGTTGTCATATTAGAATTTGTTCTTGTAACTTGGGACATACTATTCGATATTTTTTAAAAATTAAAGAGTAATCAATTATCAAAAAGAAAAAATTACTAGAAGGATTTTACCTAGAACATGTGGCTGCGTGAAGTTGTTTGCATCTGGCCATGATGAAGGCAACAAAAAGAGTTATTTGCGGCATTGCACGCTTATGTACAACTGCTGGAGAGTAGCAATTACAGGGAGTAATAGCTGGTTTTAGAGTCGATTGTGATGGCTGGCTGGTGATGGAGGTGGCCGATCTTGTGGTGGCTGACAACAAGAGAGTGGTGGTCAACTATGAAATCTGGCCCTCTCTATACTTTTTTATTTCGACAATGAAGGTTGAATAGGGTTTATAAAAGAGTTTAGAGATTTCTTAATCTAAAGCTATGATATTATGTTAATAATAATTTTGATTGATGTATATTTTGTTGAAATATATCATATATATATATACAGGTTTTGTATGATAGGAATAAATAGATAACTGATTATAATTAATTATAGATGGTATAATTTATCCTTATACCCTGATTTTCTTCCTCTTTAAAATTCTGATTTATTTATTCTTTAATACCCTAATTTGTTTTCTCTTCAATACATTGATTTACTTCTTTTTTAATATTTGGATTTACTTTTTTCTTTAATAATGTTTTTAAAACTTTTACTTTTAAACTTTCTATTTTGATGATCTTTATATTATTGATAATATTTTTAGTTTGCTATTCATAGATGTTGGTGCAAAAATATTTAATTTTTTTAACTTGTAAAATATATTAGGCAAAATGGCATCCTAGATATATCTCTAGTATAAATATTCTCGTGATTAAGTTAGTAGTGGTGGTAAGAGATAATATAGATAACATAAAATCTCAAAATAGTCTACATAACAAAAAGAATATTTCTTTTCTATATTCATTCATCAGGTTTTTTTTGTAAAAACTTGATTATTGAGATACATGACGACTTGGGAATTGCAAGTAACTCTCTTTCAAATTAACAAAATGCCTAAGAGATGAGGTTATATTGGGAACTTATGTAGTGTCTTATGCTTAAGAATGCAATTTGATTGGGACTAATATATTATCACTCTTTTTACCACGAGAGATGGTAAGAATACATGCTACCATTGGCATCATTGGACTAATTTGTGTATACCATGCTGATGCGATATGTCATGTTAATCACTTATATGGTTTATACAAAAGTAAGTGTATAGATGTTTATAAGGTAATGAATCCATTGAGCTACTTTGTATAGATCCCTTGCATAGAATATTCATAATAATAGTGATGTAGTTAGTCCTTAGACTTAGGATGGTCATAGTTACTTTGGGAATATTATTTCATGTTTTAATGCTACTAATCTGTATACATTCTTATATCATGTAAAGATAGTTAATTGAACATAGTTTGAAGTTCATAAAGCTGGTTGAATGTTAATGAAATATCTATCTACCCTTGTCATTGTTGTGTGAACATATATGTATATGTCATATACGATTAAGGATAAATTTCCTTTCTTAAAAGTGTTCATTGATTTAAAAAAATTATAGTTTGATCAATATGATTAAGTTAACAAATTATATTTGTGTTGATAGATATATGGAGTCTAATATATTATTCATGCAAAAGTTTACTTATCGGAAATGATATTGAAAGAAAAAAAAAAAAAAGTATATTTTGAGATAAATCATTATCAAGTATTTAGTCATGGGCTTATGACTCATTGACAATTGATAATGAATTTGATAAAAATTTGAAATTTAATAATAAAATAAATTTTTAAAAAAATTAAAAGTAATAGAAACAATAAAACCATTAAGAAAATTAATAAATTCTCGAAATAATGAAATAGTGAAAATATTAATAAAATAATTGAAAAAATCAAAGTAGTTTGTCAAATTATAATTAATTGGCGTAACCGACTCAAGAAGCCTATTTTTTATGACTAGTTCAAATTAATTATATTTTAATTAATTAAACAAAATTTATTAATGCTATTTTATTTGTAAAGTATAATTTATTTGTATTATGTTACATGTATTATATACATGATGCAGGTTTTGTACCATGATAAATAGCTTTGATATGAAGAATATATGTAACTGTATACCATCGCATATATAGGTACTGATATAAAAGATTATTTTTATATCATGGTATATGTATGTGTATATATATATATATACACTATCTACTATTTCCTTACTACAGAATATTAGCCTTAATTATCAATATGTTTTTGTTTAGAAATCCAGACGAGTGTAAATATCCTTGGGAAAAACTAATAATTTTGTAGAAGTTAAATAAATTAAACCATACAATATCGAATTATCTCAAAAAAATTTAAAAAGAATAAACCTGCAAGTAAACCAAATTATAGGAGACAGAGATATACTTTGTGCTAATTAATATATACAGATGATAGATTTTAGTGACAAAACAATTCAAAATAAGCATAACCGTAGTATATATGATTAATATACATCCTTCTCCTATTTGCTTGACTATACTATGATTTTGGGTTCACCCTTGTTTAAAAAACCTCATTGGTTATAAGGATTTCCTCATTCAAGTTTGGCACAAAAACTGCAAGTCCCTCCATTTTGCTTCCTTGGAGGGGAAAAAGAAGCCAGTGAAAAAAAGGGTTGGAGTGCTAAATTGGTTGCCTCCTATATATGGTCTTCTGAAAATGTCTAAACTATGGAAGAAACAAGAAGCTATTGATCATGGTATTGGAAATTTAAGGCTTGGAACTTAAGTGACCAGATGGGACAGTAACTTTCTGGAAAAAACATGACATTCTTTGAATTATGTCTTCAAATGATGGTCGTTGATCTGGGTTGCTGTTTGTTTTTCAAAGGAAAAAGGGATTAGTCTCTGTTGGCTAACAAGTTGTAAAGCTTGCAAATTTTTGAAGAAAGAAAATTAGAATCTTTATTACCTTTTCCAACAATCTCGGATGATTGATGCTAGTCGAGGATCGAGGCCTTCTGGCAGGTCTAATCTTCTGTCCATAAAGCCCACAACGCCAACAACCTTTCAGAGGGAACAAACAAATAAGTCTTAAGAAGAGAGGTAAAATGCTAGAGATATTATCTTACATGTTAGTAAAGGACAGATTTTTACCTGTAAAGAATTTAGGTTGCTCCATGGAATGGAAACCGTGACTAATTCCCACAAGATGACACCAAAACTGAACACATCAGACCTGCTTAGATGCAAGAGTTGCAAAGATCATGTAGTTATGACTAAAAACAAAAAACAAGAGAAGAAATAAGAAAAAAAAAAACAAAATCTAATTTAATTTAATGATAATTAGAGGGACTATCAGAATTCTTGTTTTCATATGATGATAATGTGGAAAAATACATATGTTTTTTATGTTGTTAATTAGGGTTTTAAAGTAAATCCTTGAGAAATAAGAAATATAAACTGAGTTTCCAGATATTACTTCTCATTAGAAGGTTCATTCCTAAGAACTTCAGGAGCCATCCACTGCGGCTGCAGATCAAGAACAAAAATGTTAAGCAACTTCATATGCGAAAAATGATGAAACTTGTCGATTGCAACAATGTTTGACCAGAAGAGAGAAAAAAAAAAGGAATTATTACCGTTCCTCTCCCAGATTTAGTAGTTAAGAATGTTGCATTTTTCCACCTTGACAAACCAAAGTCTCCAACCTGGGAAAGAATAATGAACTGCTTAAGCAAATTGCAAGTGCTCAACTTGATCAATTGTTTAAAGGCATTACCTCAAATGCACAGTACCTTTACATTCCAGTTTCTGTCAACAAGTAGGTTAGATGATTTTAAATCTCTGTGTACTATTGGTGGATTTCTGCGATGTAAATAATTCATTCCTCTCGCCTGCATGAAAAAAAATGAATGTGATTTTCCTCTAAGCTCAACAATCTAACCTTACTCTTTGGTAGAAGTAGAATACATACAACATCAAGAGCCATCCTTAGGCGGCGTCTCATGTCTAATGCCTGGTTATTCTTGTGTAGTGTCTTGAACAGGCTTCCCCTGATCATAAACAACAAAAATAACTATAAGATAAGTTATATATGATTTCCATCTTGCCAAAACAGACACTATGCATGGATAGCTACTTAATAAGAGCTGATATCTGAGAGGAATCTAGGTTTTGGTCATGCTTAATCACTTCACTTGGTCAATCAACTCAACAAGTAATAAATTGAAGCTGGTGTATACACCACACAGGGTGACGTTGCAACTAACTTTAGATAGTTTTTGCCCGTGTCAGTCAACAATCCTGTAGAAAATAGTACTTGCTCTCACCTTGGTAGGTATTCTGTGACTATGGCAAGCCGTTCCTGAGAGTATACTGCTCCCATGAACAGCAGTACATTTGGATGTCTCAATTTTTTCATTATATCAATCTGAAGAGCATGAGAAAGATCCAGGATAAGATGCTTTCTCTCACAAATAAAAAGAAATATCAACTGCAAATTAGAAGAGAAATCTTGATACCTCCTTTTTGTAGTCTTCCAAAGTTCCTTCAATATAGTCACTCCCAAAATAAGCCTTAACAGCAACATCCTGGTTTACAAACAATTGTTTTGAGGTTGATCCACTGATTTTTTCACCAAAAAGAAACAAATACTTAGAGTTTGAGTTTCATATACTTACAGATCCATTCCAAATTCCATGGTAAACAACAGCATATGAACCTGCAAGGGAAAAAAAAGAAAAATATTTTCTTCATATTACATGTTCAAACCATGTACTTTTGTCTATTCCTAATTTCACAATATTGAGATCAATTCTTTTCATAGAAGTTTGAGTAGTCTGCCATTATTATATAAGTTTCTAGATGATGCCAGTTAGACCAGCCTTGTTCCAGAAAGTACTGGGTATGACATTATTGACATCATTTCCTTCTTTCTTTTGAATATGAAGGAAAAGTTTAATTTTGGCATTCTCACTTTTTATGTTTGCTCAGTGTGTTTTGCAGAACATAGTTCTAATCAACATATTTCTTCCTCGCCCAAATCTCCATGTACAGAGACAAGACAAACAATTCAAATCGCACGTTACAAATTAACACTGCTTACCTTGGCCAATCTCCTCTCCCAACTGTAGGTCTTCCCAGTGAATCTCACAGTCTGTCAGAGAGTTTGAATCATTATCCCCCTTGCTTGATGAACTTCCTTGGGTCCCAGTACCCTCCCCTAAACTAGGAAACTGTTTACCATCTGATCGTTTATGCTCTTCATCTTCCACCCCTGAAGATTCCAACTCATTCGAATCCACATAGCAGCCTGATCCTGGCATAGAATTTTCTGGCCTGGATGGGGCAGAGTGTTCACTACTACACTCCCTTGGAGAGACTACAACGGGATTCTCATCAATATCTTGTCTAATTCTTTGTTCTTTTAGATTGAAAGGTGTCTTGTCAGCTGAAGAATTTGATTTTTGCTGGTGTTGTCTCCTGTTTCTAGTGCCCGTGATACAGTGGTCTACAGTTGATGCTTGTGGACCTCTAGAAGAATTAACTTCACTAATCACTTCTTTATGGCTTGGCATATCACTTGCGCCATTTTGTCTAACGCTTTCTTCATCTTCATTTTCACAGGTGCCAGTTCCCCAGATGTGCAATTTTTCCAAGACCTTTGTTGCCTACAATTAACCCAACCAGACGTCGAAATAAGAGACCATATGTGAAAACGTTAAAAATAAACTTAAAATGTTGGTGTTGAAAACAAGATTAAGATTTTCACCTCATGGACTAACCGAAAACTAATTTAGATGTCTCCTCATCACTTTAGTTATGCAACATAAAGTTCAGTATGACCTGGGGAAAATAAACTTACTAGAGCACAAGGCTTCTCTAATTTAAAATCTTCAGCCTGTGTTCCACTATTGTCTCTGTTCCTCGTACTTGCATTTGCACTACAGTTGTCATCTCCATGTCTATTTGATAGAAACTTTGATGCCTGTTTATGTTGATGTACAGAAAAAAAAAATCACAAACTAGAGCACAAATGAAAACATAAATTAGAAGTAAAGAAAAAAAAAAGAAAAGGAAAATCTGATAAGACTGTAATACATAAGCACCAGATTGGAAACAGACGCTGCTATCTGTGGCATGGATGCAATCTGTGGTCGTGGAGGATTCCACTGAATCTTTTTCAAGTTTAATCCTCGTGCTTTACCATGATCCTGAGATGGTCTTAAGTTTTGCAAATGTAATCTATTAAATATTGCTGCATCACTTGAGACAGTGATAACACCAGCAAGCTCACCATCCTCATACAAAGGGCTTTTTGTCATTATTGCCATAAATATTTGACCTGATCTCTTCTTTAGAGGGAACTGGCCTGACCACGATTGCCCTGAGTTCAACCCCTCCATGATTTCCTTTAGAGGGGTATGGTATTCTTCAGCTACAAGGAGATCAGCCGCATGGCAACCAAGGACCTCATGGGTCTTCCATCCATATAGATTTTCAGCAGAGCGGTTCCTGGGATAGAAAAACTTTCTTCTCATAAAGCAAAATCCAATGGAAACTCTACAAGAAAGATTTAGTGAAGACCTACTTTCATATAGATAACCATTTACATAACAATGCGTGATGCTATGCTAATCACACAGGTCAGGATTAAATCGAAATGCTTTCTTATGGTTGTCAGCATGTGGACATGAGCTTCAATGTGTGGAAGCAGGACGTTGATCCAAATGATAAGCTTCAACTTCAAACAGAAGTCTGACAAGTGAGACTGAACATCTAAGGGTATTTTTGGAACAAATGAATTACTTTTGTCGAATTCATTTAAAAACGTATTCTTAGTTAAAGAATGAGAGATTGAAATTCAAGGCTGCGAGAATAGAAATTCAACTCTATAGAATTCAAAATGTATTTCAGTTCTTCTACTTGATATTTGTTCATGCATGAATCTTCATTCTCTCGAACTTGAACTGAGTACACATTTTCAAATAAATTCCAGAAAACATAGTTCATTGGTTGCAAACATAGCCTAATCATAATACAAAATTATGTTCAATTATCTTCCAAGATAATGTGGGTTTTACCCATGAAAAATGATTTGCTTCCTTGTTTTAAGAATACTGCAGGCCATTTCTGATTACTCTTCCAACATCAAAGTTACAAGTTCAAGTCTAATGCTGGAAGAAATGACTAAAATTTTTTGTTTCATGCTGGAAGAAAACAGCCTTTAAATTTTATGCAGATGTCATCATGTAACCACCTAATCTTCAAGGGTATAGAAGGCTGCTACTATGATAAAACGGACTAATCAGGCTTCTCAGAAAACCTAAGCCAACAACTGAATTGGATGCTGTGTGATAATGTAATCTAGATTTATTAACTATAGGAGCTTCGAAGGTAATTAATTAACAGGAGTTTAATTGGTAATTTGAGACATGTAAAACAATAAGGAATAAAAAGGTAAATGGTTCCACATTTTCCCTAAACAGGGCAAAGAATACTCATCATTCTTTAGTGTATACTTAGCAAGTGACAACTTCATGCTTGGTTGGTTAGCCCGGATTCACGATCATGAAATATACATCCAAGTGGTTGGTAGGTAAGTGATTTAATTGTTGTTCAATGTGGAAATAATGTGGTGTCAAGAGAAAAGTTTAATGATTTCAAAAAGTTGTTTGACACGGTTAGAAAACAATTTCCAACTCTTATCAGATCAGAAGATCTGTACTGGCAGCGCCACAGGTCACCTTGAGCATACGAGTTGCCAAATGAAAGGAGTAAGCCAAGCTAAAGTTTTCGGTTTGTTTGGACTCAACTTGTACAATATTAACTAATATTTTCCATTCCAAAAACAAATGGTAGCTTGAAGTGATTAGGTCTTTCGCTTGACCAACATAGGAGCAGAGCAAAGAAGCTAAAGAAATACAACCGTACAAATATTCTTGAGACCTAAAACTCACTACACATATCCCTTTTCTATACTAGAACTTTGCTGCATCAATAAGGTTACTTGCTTCACTCTGTATACCATATTCTGTTTTACGGTTTGGATGTTAATTAAGTGAAAGTGGCATTCACCACACCTGGATTGTGGGATAATTTGCTATAAATGAAACTCCAAATAAAGCTAATTATAATAAAAGCATCTTTTTGAAAAAAAAAATCAGATACTATTATAAACATTAAACACTAAAGCACCATCTCTTTTTGAGAGAGCCTTTCATCAAACACCTTTTTGACATTATGGGTTACAGGCTTGGTAGTTCACATATCAAAATCAACCTTACTTAGCACGAGGAATTGTCGGGTTAAGTTCAAAGTCAAACCAATTCACTTGCCTTATCTTCCACCTCTCAGTTCTAAGAATTTTCCTTTCACAAGTTTTAACTTTTCTTTTTCCCAAAAACATGAAGAATTATATATCACTGGAACTAATTTCATAATCAATGGTCTCCTCAAAATAATCAAAATACCCACATAACAAACTCAAAAGAACTCAGGAAACCTCAAACATGTCAGACCAGGGCAAAGACATATAAAGAACCAATGAATAATCATATGAGCGTAAAATGTCCATTTATCGATTATATATTTACACTTACCAGTATATAATCTCTCCAGAAGAAGCTCCGCAGACATAAACAGCATGTCCCATGGACTCCAACACGCTCCGGTACGGGTTTCCGGCGGAGAAATGTCCGGGAACCACTCCTCCGACGGCATCTGACGACATGTCAACGGAATCTGATGTCACTGACACCCCGGTACTCCCGTTCCTCTTCTCCTGCACCAGCTCATCAAGCTGCTCCCTGAGTTGCACATAACTCTTCTCTAGACTCAGGCACCGATCTGCCAAGTTCTGGTACAGACTCGTACCTGACTCGTCTCCGGCCATCTACCACGCCGGAGCTCCGGTGCTCAATGCGCATCAAACTTTTGATCATAATAATAAAAATATAAGCTGTATTTACTAGTTTATGGTGAAGGTGGTGGCTTATATGTTTTTGTGTTATTAAAAAATAGGAAGTAAAAAAAAAAAAAAAAAAATCAAAACTCAATATTTTATGATTTTCCGGACGAATCTTGTCGCCAAAGGGTGTCTGCCACGTGTCACTGGCCGGCATGAGGGAGCTATCAGGTGCGGACAGGTAAGATGTTGGACGAATTAGAGATGGACTTTTTATTATGTTTCTCTTTTTCTATTGGTTAAGGTAATCGCAGTGTTGTCTTGTTGTTAGTTAAAAAGACGAAAAAACCATAAGACTTGAATATAATTACAGAAATACCCTTGCCGCCATTGGTTTGAATAAGAACAAGTGGGTAGTGGGGTTAGGTTGCTTGTACTCAACTATAAATTTTCAAAATTCTTTTACAACTTGCGCACGTGGATAGGTCAACATGTAGAGGAATGGTCCCATGTGTCAGCGTCCACTGTAAAAGCAGGTGGAGGAAAAGCGTGTGATTGATTTGATCCGTTGGATGGAAGAATCAGATTGGTAATGGTTTTGAATGGTGAGGATCAAGTGGGAGAGAAGAGAGAATGGTGGATATGTATGTATGTAAGAATCACAAAAATTCATAATGATGCCAACTGTACTTGCACTATAATTAGCACCAAAGAGCCATGAATATCTTCTGCATAATCATTTTGGCCATGAACACATTCTTTAGTTTTACGCGTAAGGATGTTTCCAAAGACTCATGCATACATGCATGATGTGCTGTTTTTCTTCTCTTATTTGCGAAGGCAAAAATGAGTGTATATATATATGTATATATGATAAGGAAAGACGGCTTCTTCATGAATCAATATGATGACATTTGATTTCAAATGTTTGAGATATCAATCTTTTTGTTAGGTCATAGTTGATTCTATAACAAATACTGATTCAAAATATATATTTGCAAAGAATTTTTTTTATTTCAAAATAATATTTCTTTAAATAATTTTATTCGATAAATTTAATCATAAAATATAAACATATAAAAATTATTAAAAAATATATAAGTACCAGCTACGATCGATAACTATTATCAAATCACAAGTGACACTCACATAAAAAAATTATGACAATAAATTATCAATAAGTAACAAACATCACGTGATTACTTAATAATGCCTAACATAAAAGATCTTATGTGCTAGCACATGTTTATCACCAAATAAGAATCAAATATCTAGTAATTTTAATTATTATATAGAGATTACTTACTTTCAAAAGTTAGAATTAATTATTGAATATTACAAAAACTTAATAACTATTTACTCATAAATTATAGACACCCATAAAATATAAGACTTAAATCTCTTTTACTTACATTATTAGTTTTTTTTTTAAATATTTTCTTTTAATTGACTTAGAAATTAAAGTGATTCGTTTGATATAATACTCATGGCTAACTATGTATTAGTATTAGTAAGTTATAAATAACAAAGAGATCACTTGTAGAATCGTGAAGGATGACCATCTGTCAATAGTGAGAGTCATTAGTCAATAATGGACTTAAGCTATTATTAGTGAATGCCATTTGCCACTAAACAACCCCACATGTAATCTAACCCCATATTAATTGGCATCTTATATTAAAATACAAAAATTACATTGCTACCTAAAGAAGCTTGTAAACTAGTAAAAATAGTATTTATCAAATGAGATAGTGAAAGATTTACCCCACTTGGGATATGATTCCCCAAGTAATAGGGTGAGGAATCAACCTTATTGATGGATAAAAATCAAGTAAAAATATAATAAATTTTATTATGTTGTGTCAAATAAAAAATCTTATTAAGTAGTAAAAGTAATTTATTATTTTAATTTAGAAGTTAAAATTGTATAGATTTACTGATTAATTTTACATATGTTAAGTATACATTATGCATAAAAAAATTGTTAGAACTTACATTAGTTACTACTATGTTAATTAAGTAATAAGTGTAAAATACATTAAACATTCACTAAAAAATATTTAAGTATCGACTAGTAACCAATAATAATTGTAAAAAACAAATAATATCCACATGTTTAAAAATTGATCACAAGCTACTAAGAAACTTGTAGATACCACATGGATAGCTGCTAGAACCTATACTTAAAAATATGTGGTGGCAAATACTTGTTTCTAGATGATAAAAAAAATTCTCAAATAATAGTTATTGTAAATAATAAACACCAAAATAAGAGGAAAAAAAATTTCTTGAATAGATTTCTTTTTGGTGAACAAAATATTAGGTTAGATTTTAACTCATTGTTACTACTTCAATTAAGGAAACCTATTCGATTAAGATATTTTTTAAACAAAAAAAATAATTGGTTCATTAAAATTAAATTCAACTTGGTTAGTGTAATATCATAAATACATTAATAAACTAAACATTCAGTTTCATTGAATCAAATATTATAAACGAATTAAATCAGTTTAGTTATACTTATAAAGTGATAAACTCAATGTATTCGAGATTTAAACTTGTGATTTTTAATTAGAATATAAAAAGTTTTAATCACTAAATTATCATATTGTTAATAAATTCTTAAATAAGTTATTATTTTCTTACCTATACTCTTTTATTTCTCTATAATATAATTTTTTTATTAACAAAATTCAAGATAATCGATGTTAATTTTAGCATATTTCAAGTAATTAAAAAAATACCACATGAAATGTTATTATGAAGAAGTGCTTGTTAACAACAAAAAGTGCTTACCAACGACAAACTTATTATATTCCTTGGCATCTTAAAGTTAAGCATAACCCCTCTTTTTAAAACTTTTAAATGTGTTTGGAGTTAAGTGGGGTGCATTAAGCCAAACACAGCAAATTAGATAATAGTAAATACTGTCTCTAGGTGTTAATTTTTTAATTAGTAGATGGGCAAGCAAAAAGTTATACAAATATTTAAATAATATTAGAGTGATTAAAGTATTTTCCTTTCAGAATTTGAAAGTCAACCCTTTAATGTTTGACACTAACAACTAGGACGTGGAAAGAATATAAGTCCTATAGGGACCATACCCATAAAAGGACTTTTTTTTGACGGCTACCCTAAAAGTGGCTTTTTTTTTTATTTTTAAATATTGGTTAAATCATGCTGGGAAAAAGATATTTAAGGGGAAAAAAAGAGCCACATGCCCCACATGGCTCATTAATTGTAGGGCCGGAACTTGGCTTAGGTTAAATGTAGTCAGGTCAGGTGTCAAGACCACAAATTAATGACGACCTGGCCCAGCAAAATCGGAGGTGCAAACGACGACGTTGAGGTAGGGGTATAAATGGAATTCCACTCAACTCTCCTTGGCCCCTAACCCATTGGTGGCAGTTTTTGAAAAACAACTAACCGCCAGTGCCGCTGTTCAACAATCGCTTGCTTCTCGGAGCAGAAATAGCGAGAGGAGAAAAAGTGGAAGTACGAGGAATGCAAAAGGAATGTTCATTTTGGTTTGCATTCTCTTCAGCTGGTATCTCTGCTTCATGTAATCGTCGTCGACGACGTTGGAGTCCCGATTTTATGAGTTTGAGGAGTGTGGGAGGACCTCTGATTCCGGAAACTGAATTTCTTCACCATGAACTGCACGATATGGCCACAAATCTGTATACAGTAAGCGCTCTCTCTATTTCTTGAACTCTATTTATTAGGTTTATTTTATTTAGTGTTATTTATTTATAATTTTCTTGTATTTGGATGTGGATTATTCTTGTAAGTGATTATTCGCTATGGATAGCTGGAATTTGCTGTGTCTTTTCAATTAATGACGTAATAATGGTGGTTTTAGTCAATTAGTACTTCTGAGTGGTGATTTGTAAAGGCTTGAACTCCATTAAAGGCAAGAAGCACAAACAGAGGTGAGATAAGTTAATTAATGGATTTTTGGGTTAAGAACAAGAGAAATAAAGAAATTATTATTTATCTGCTTATTCATGTGCTCTAGTTTTATTTCAACTGTATTAAGTTTGATTGAGGTAACGAGTAACTATTATCTTCTTTTGGTTAACAATCATATGAATATCCCTTTTCAAATTCTGAAACAATGAATTAATAGGATATGCACTTAACCATGCAGATATAATTTTGTTTTTTAACTCAAATAATATGCCTCTTCCTTTTTTAAGGAAAAAAGTGATATCCCTCTCTGTATGAAGCATAGTAAAAGACCTTGAAGGCCAGCTAGCTACAAAATTATAAAAGGATTGATGTGGACATTTTGAACCAGTAACTTTGAATACATTAGTACTTCAACTGAGCTTTTTCTCCAGAAAAAGAAAAAGATGGAGCTCACCTCAGGTTTTTCACTTTCATTCTTTCGGTATTTGAAATTTCAATTCTTCTTGTCCTTGAATTTCCCTGACTAAATTATTGTACTTATAATGCTATGAATCTAGCATCTGATCTTCCTACATATTAGGAACTTGATGGAGTTACTCAAGGTTGAATGAAAGTCCAATCGCTCTTACGAGTTCACTTATTGAATGGGGCCTATTCTACTATTTAAGGATCTTCCCTAGATATGCTCATCAGTACTTCACATGATTGGATAGTTCTTCTTTCGTTACTCTTCGCAAGTTATAAATTGATATGATATATATAACTCAGCAATCAATACAGAATATTACTGCAGCATTTATAGGTCTCCAAAACCTTCTTAAGGCTCTACAATTTTCATTGTGTATGTACACATTGCATACTGTGTGTGTGACTGCTGTTGGGAGTGGGGATGGCAGGAGTAGAAGCTAAAAGAAGGAAAGAGATGCTGTAGTTCTATGATGAAAAAAGGAAAAATATTTTTGAAGTCTTTATTCAAGATGATAGGGTACAAGCCTGCAAGAGATTGATTCTTTATACACAGGTTAAAACCAGCTATCACAGTGGATTTTCATAATAAACTTCTTAGATAAAGGAACAGGTAAAAGATTATAAGGAGAACAAGAGAAACAAGGTTATCGGGGATTTATGACTTTGGGCATTTTGTTGAATAAATGATTAACTATGGAGCCAAAGCAACTGTGGCTCAATGGCACTGTGCTTTCAAGAGGACTGCCATGGGTAAAATTTTGAGCCTATTAACTGCATGCGTTGTAGGCCTCTCTTCAATGGACCTCAGCAAGAAAAAAAGCAATGACTAAATATGTATATACAGGCAGATTATTTTTATATCTGAACTGTTTTCAGTATCTTTTAAAGTTGTATACAGTCAGATTCTTGTATAATATGCGACTTTAATCAGACTAAATAAGATTTAACCTTAATAGATTGCTCAAAATCACGTTAATCAGTTTTTAATATAGATTAGAGGATGAATATATACAGCTATTGAAACTGTATTATACATTGGTCAGTTTTTACATACAGATTAGATCTATATATACATCTATTGAAACTGTGTTATACATTGGTCTGTCATTCTGCATATGTTTATTGTCTATACAAATAAATATTATATTTTTAGGCTGTCAAAATATGCCTCCTGGAAGCGGCTTAGTAAGATGTCATTTTTTTCTCTGTATGTATTGAAGTCCTTATATCTGTATTTCCTAATCATAGCATCATATTTACTCATATAATCATTATATCCCAGCAATTCTAATGGATGGTTCATTTTATGAGCAGAAGAAAATGTATTTTTTTTAAACTCTATATACAGTACTTATATAATGATTTGGATAGTTATGTTTTCTTTGCTTTGGCTATTCTCCTACAATTTAATATAAGTTCTTATCTGCAAGTTAAGGCATAAACAAATATAGCTTTCATGGACAACCACTTTGACATATTGCCCTCCAGGAATAGTGTGTGTAATGCACTGTGCAAAGTTTCAATGCTTGCTCTGCTGTGGATATTGCCAAAAAGGCCTCTTTTGTCCTGGAGAAATTCAATATTGGTTTGATTGCTGCCATATTGATTTTAGAAAGCATCTCTACCAGGGAACTAGGAACCAAAAGTATGAAATTTGGCACTAGGAAGTATAAAATATCATCTTGACCATGCAAGGCCAAGCAGAAATAAGGACAAATAACACAAGTAACATGCAGCAAATCTACTTAGAAAGAATTGGGAATGGGTATTGGATATGGTAGACACATAAAGGAAGAGAGACTAAAAGGTACCATCCGAAGTGACTCACATGGTGAAAAATCTAAAAACGAAATTGAAAAATTGTCATTTAACTTAAAAACAAAAAAGGAAAAGTTGTTTTTGATGTTTTCATGATTTCATTTCCAGAAAACAGTTTTTAGTTTTTAACTACCAAACATGTTTTCTAAAATTGCTTTCATTTACACTTTTCTCAAAAATAAAACTATTTTCTATCTTAGTTCCTTGAAATTAGAAACTGGAAAACATATTTAAGAATCACATGAGCCTAATATTTGGAAAAAAAAAAAAGAACAGAAATGTTGTCCAATAGGCGACGTACAGTTTAGCTTCATCCAGAGCAGGTAAAATATGATAACTGAAGGTAGTATCCTCTGCAGTTGGAGTGTGATGCAAAATTTCCATTTAGAGGCCACACTGTCTAGAGTTGACGCAAATTATTATGGGCCAAAGAGAGTTGAACAAAGAAGATCCTTTGATGAATAAATACTTTAAAACTGATAAACTGTGCAGTACTTTTTCTAATAAGTACAAAAAGACATTTGCACTATGTTTACAATTTAAGTTTCACTTTGATGGGCATGCTGTATTTTGGTTTTTCTACCTATGCATACCTTTTCTTCTCTCTATCTTTCTTTTTTCCTTTTTCTGCCTTTAATATACAGATTGGAGAACACAAAAAGTTGATTTGATTCTAAGCAAAACTGAACCTTGGTCTTTGTTTGAGTGATTATTATGATTGCCTCTCTGCTTGTGACAATCACCAGCTATTGATTCTGTTACCATCTTTATGGAGCATCAAGTATTGTAGCAATCCTAATAAGCAGTATGAAGGACGTCCATATGTGTTGAAGTTTGCAGCATCAGACTAGCAACCTAGCCATCCTAACTTTTAATATGCCAAGCCAAAAGCTTTTTGGTACTGTACCCCGCTATATGTATTTGTCGTCATACTGCGTTGACTAAATTGTTCTATTTGTTGTATCTTTCTCCATAAGCTGAATGTGAAAACCATTTGGAAATTGCAAACCAGGAGTTCGGAGTATATCACCTCCTTTAATTGTTTTCCATCTGAAGAGATCATAAAATAGTCAGTTTATCTCTCTTCCCTTGCTACACACCCATCCAAAATCACTCATGAGCAGCATTCTATGGGGTTTTGTTTACCTGTACTTTGTGACCAAGCAATGGAGAAATACGGCCATCTGCACTTTAGTGAAGTCTGTTCCAACACAAAACCTCATGCCACCACCAAAGGCCATGAAATTCTTAGATGCACCATTTATCTCAACTCCCTGTATGCAGACATTTTAGTATAGCAGCGAAACGAGAGTTCACGTTAAAATTCTGCATCAATTTACTTTGTTAGCTAACTGTTTACATGCAGATTATGACAGAAGTTCCCAAAATAGTTGACCCACCTCCCATCTCCATGGATTGAAGGCAAGGGGGTCTTCATATTTTTCTGGGTTTAAGTGTACAGCTGGGGGACAGACCATCACTGCCCAGTCTGCTGGAATGGTGTACCCTGTATTTCACACCAACTTAAATGTTATAAACAAAATCAATTTATCAGAACAGATACCTATCAGTATTAGTATAGAAGCCAATCGACGGTTATTACATACCTTTAAAGTGAGTCTCTCTGAGTGCTTTTCTAAATATTCCTGGAACTATGTTTGCCAATCTAACTGTTTCCATGATGAACTGCAAGTATAATTCATCAGTGTGGGTGACAGAGAAAGCAAATTTATGTTTTAGATGTTTTGTGAATGTTTGAAGGTGTCTGGCTCACCTGTAATGTGAACTTCATTGATTTGTATTCCAACCACGTAAGTCCAGAGTCCGCATTTCCTCGTTTTCTCAGAATCGTCTCATGCTCTTCCTGAGAGAAGAAAAAAGCATTCAGAACATGTTAGCTAGAGAACCTAAATCTTTGTAAAGTATGTTTCATAATTTGAAACTGTTTTCACAGACCGATAATTGCTGCAACACCAAAGGATGATTGGATAGAAATTTAATGGCTAATGTTATAGCCAGCGAAGTTGTTTCAAAGCTGGCAAAGAGTAGCACAAACATTAGATCTAGTGCAATTGCCTCCGTCAGAATTGTTCCCTCTTTCTGAAGTTCTTGGAGGACATAATCAAAAAAATCACTCTGATTTTTCTGGGGTTTTGCGCGTCTTTCGTGTAGCATATTCTTCAGCATTCTCATTGCCCTTTTCCTACCCTGTACAAGCAATGAGAGGACCAAGAAAGATTATGAACATATATTTTATTGTACACCTAAAACTTTTGCTAACTGATAGAGTCTTTTTTAGCTCAATCATTCCAGGAAGAAGTAATGCGTGGTCCAAGCATATTTTAGCATAGTGTAAGTGGTTTACCCGTAGACATTTGTGATAAGCAGTTCCAGGAATGTCAAAAGGGAAGGAGATTAATCCCTGTATGAATGCAACAAAATTTTCCCTTAAATTCTCTGAGGATTTCTCTTGATCATAACTTATCAGTTTCTTTGCAGTTAAATCAAATATCATCTGCACAAAAGGGACTAATGTTAGAAATTGACAAGGAATTTAACTGAAGATGAATGATTTTTCTGAAATTACATTTGCAGTCGCTTCTTTCAATTCAACGGTTTCCTGGGATGACCACAACAGTAACTTTCTGCATGCAGCCTGTTCAACTTCAGGTAGCATCTTCTTGAGGCCTTCCGGACCAAAGAGATTTAGCACCATGTTCTTAAGGTACTTGTACATGAACCCATGTAAGGAACCTACATTCTGTTTCCCAAAGATCTCTGTGAAAGTATCTGGGTACCAGCTCTGAAAGCAATGTCCTTCTTGTTGGAAGATATAATGATTGAGATCCGGGTCTGTTGATACTATGACAGGTCGTCCCACCAAACTAGTCCGGAATATCGGTCCATATCTACAAGCAAGAGCAGGAAAATATTTAGCCAAGTTAAGGCATAATAGGTGGATGGAGAATAAAAATTGAAGGCAATGATCGTGTCAATGGCATTGGTTAAAGAATTAACTTGCAAGTTGAGAGAACCTTACTTTTCCATCCTCTCTTTGACAAAGGGTGGAATGTCAGACGACTTGTTGGGAGTAAAGAACTGAAGAGTCTCACCGAGAAGTGGCCAACCCATTGAACCCGGTGGGAGTTTACCATTGCATCTGGGATTTCTCCACCTGTAGACCCAGTGCGTGATGATTATAATAATCACGGTTCCAGTGCACACACCCCACATCGGACTCGATTATATTATTTAATATTGCAAAAGACGATTACTGTGCTATGAATTTGCAGGATTGCAATGTGAGCAGATGGCAATGGAGCTGATGATGCGTATAACAGAAGAGGGTATTGCAGTAGCAGAAATTAGAAGCGCTTTGAGGTTGGAAACGTGAGGAAGGGGATATAGATTATAGACAGGTAGGAGAAGAAAGTGCTGGCGTATCTCGTCAACCATGAGGAACTCCTTTTAAATAGGTAGGCAGGCAATACTCGCAACCAGTTAGAAATTAATTTTATAATATTTGGCTCGTCATTTGAAAAAATTATTGGTTACTTCAGAATTTTATAATATATTTTAAAATTTTATTTTATGATTTTTTACCAAAATTTAAAATATATCAATCATATTTATAAGATCACTATATATTCATGAAGCATCTGACAATTACTCGGTCCTTTTTTTTTGTTGTAATTTTCTCAAGTTTTTTGTTTGATTAGGAAGCTGTACGAGTAGTTGAAGATAGAATATAATAGTTTAGAATAATTCCTGTCAGTACACCACTCACATTATCATTTGTCAACGGGGCATCCATAAAATTTTGTTAGAAGCCAAGCATTACGTGAATCTTACAGGATGTTTCGTGTCTCACTCTCTCTATCACTCACTCTCTCTCTCTCTCTCTCTCTCTCTCTCTATGATGCATTGTGTATGAGAAGGAATGAGATGAAACTGAAGGAGCACGAGGCAGAATTCTGGCCTTTTTTAAGGAGATTTTGAGAATATCGATGGAGGTTCAAAGGATCTATCTGACCAACTTTAGTATGTGAAATTAATCCATAATGTGGAATTAAATACTAAAGTCTGAAGGGTTTCACCAACTTCATAAAATCTAGCAATATCTATGCTAAATACTCCATATCTATGTGATGTTGATCATCACCCTGAAAAAATACCCACACAAATTTTTGTTCTTGGTTTCTCATTTTTTGTCTCCTTATATTTTTATTTAGATCTCTTCCTAGATCTGCTTAGGTTGCAATCATTACATATATATATATATATATCCTGTCTATATGTACGCATACATACACTGACTTAAAAAACTCCCCCTGCCAAACTTAATAATCTTAAGTGCATATGTCACTGGTGATTGCAAATGAAGTAGTTTAGATATGCAATCAGCGACTGTATTTTCTTGTTTTATTTTTTGATTGCTTGGTGGAAAATCTTAAATTATGAGTAAATTAAAGAAGTTGGTTATTCAACGTCCCTGTGTGGTTTAACCAATTTCAAAACATAGAACACCACCCAGTCAATGCCATTGAGCCACGGACTAACTCGACTCGATGCAATAAGTGGCTACATATTTGTAGGTAGGTCACTGTGAATTTTATGACCAACAATTATATGCCCTTTCCCATTACATTATACGTTTTAAGCAATCCAAATTTTCATATTGGACGAAGTTTCATGTATACACCTAAAAGTGAATAGAACTTAGACAAAAGCCAAGGCCTGTAGTATGTGGGGACGGAATCTCAACACTTTGTGTCTTGTTATATATATTACATAATTCGTAAGAAAGCAAAAATCTATTGGTGGTTTAGTACAGAGCCACTAATAATTCCCTTGTAAGCTGCAGGTTACCTCTCAAATCCTGTAGTAGTTCGGTACATCTCTTATATCCTGATTTTCTTTAATGAAATTGGTGTCTTTTCCCTCTGAATAAAAAAAACTAATTAAATATATATGTATATCTATACATACTACGACATAATACAGAGAAAAAGAATGTGACTGTGTCATGTGTCAAAGTTATGAAAGCCGTTAATTTTATGTAAAGAATATCTATACAAATGGAAAATACTCAATTTTATGCAAGTAAAAAAAGTGAAATAATCTCATTACTCTTTCCTTACTGTTTTATTTTTAGTGAGATGTGATAAAAAGAAAAAGGTAGAATCTCCTCCCAATTTATAAAAATGGAAAATACTTGATTTTGTACAAGTAAAAGAAGTAATATAATCTCAATCCTATACAAAATTGGAAATTTATTACATTTTTTTAAAAAAAATTTGAGTTAGATATAATCTATAAAATTTCCAATGACTTTAGATTTTGAGCAGAAAACATATATATAGATTTTGGATTATATTGTTATAACTATTTTTTAATCTAGAATATTAACTTAATTATGATAGAAATATAAATAAATATTTCATATTGTTCTTGTTACGTGGGGGCGAAGTGAAGAAGTAGCTGTCAACACAAATTGCAACTTACAGACAATTAATGTTGGAATACAAACACCACCAACAACAGCTTTACTTACACCCCATTTTTGCAATTAAATTTGAACAATTGTTTTGTTCTTTCCCTTTCTTTTTATCTGTTGAAAATAATATATATATATATATATATATATATATGAGATGCATAAAAGGTAGAGCTAGAATAATTTGATCGGTGATTATTTTTGTGTTTGATGGGTGTTTTTAATGCAGAAAAGTTTAAAGTTGTTGAATGGGTTGATTGAGATGGTGACACGGATTGCTTAACTGCTTAGCATGAGCTTCAAAAAAGGTCTCCTTTCACAACCAATAGTGACAGCTCAATTAGTTAATTAATTAATTAATTATATTGGAATTATAAACTAATTAATTAATTAATTAACTGTTCTACTGAGTCAACTTTTCTTTTCTTTTCTCTTTTTTTTTTTTTTTTTTTTTTTTTTTTTTTGTGTCCATTTTAAATTACATTCACAGTGTCCTACAAACTGACATAAATTTTGTGGGTAATGGGGAACCCACATGGAATGGGTATGGGTCCAGATCATCAAAATAAAATTCTGATTTCAATTGATCCGACGGTTCACATTCGTCTTTCAAAACCTTAACCCCTAAATAGATATAAAAATAAAAAATAAAAAAAAAAGTTGGTTTCTAATATAATTATATTTAAGGTTAATTTGTATTTATATATGTCTGACATGCGTCCACGGGAGGCCGGCAGGGATGCCTGCCTGCTTCCTTCTATGGATTTAAGCCTTCTGGATCACAGAATTGAAGTTGAGGTTAGTGGCAAAGCTGTGCGCACGAGCACAGATTATATGTGTGAATCATCAAAAAAATCATAATAAATGTAATCTACAATAATATTGCCCCCATAGAAGAAAAAGAAAATCTATGTCCCATCACTTTTATGGATTTATTATCTGCTCCTTGTGTTATAATGTCTTTTTGGAGCAAATCTTAATCTCACTCCTGTGATTTTAATGTTTACAATTTGAAATATTAATAGCTCTTTATATATATATATATATATTATAATTCATTACTTTATATAATTTAAATATTGTCAAACTCAATAAAACTATTTTATGATAGCACAAAAATAAAAATAAAAAATTACACGACAAACTCGTTGAACATGCTGATTGATCAGTTTTGACCAATATTTAAACAACAAATTAGTAAGGCTTAGAAAAACATATCTAAACTAGAACACTTCAAATTATAAGATTCAAACTAAAATTCGTTACACTTTTTATTATTTAGTCTTAAAGTTTGTCATGAAATTTGATTGTAAATGTCTACTAATTTTTTCAGTTTACAATTCTAAAACTATTTAGCTTCGAATTGAGGTTTCTGCACAAAATCCTTAATTTACTTGTCCAGTCATCACAAGAAACACCTTTTATCCACCAAACTTTGAAATTTGTGCCACCATCGATATTAAGTTTATATAACATTACAAACATATATATATTAGAGTTAGGTATATCGATAATAATCTCATATGTGTTTGGTTAAATTCTCATTCACTTCTTACTTCTAATCTTCATATTATTATTTATTATGTTTATGTATAATGTATTTATTGTATTTCAATTATTACAACTCTCATTTTTAAACTGTTTAGTAGTAAAATTTTTATTTTATTTTATTTTAAAAAATAATATAATAAAAAAATTTAAGACGATAATAACTTAAACATAATAAACTGAACAAAAACTTTGTCATTATTTAATTATTCTCTCTTGTGTCAATGATATTAAACTTTTTTTTTTCCATTTTATTTTTTTTTTAAAGTGAAACTCTTTCTTTTTATTTTTTAATTTTATTTTTAGTTTTAATAATTAAATAAATCAATTTTACTAAAAGAATAAACTTTTGGGGATAATTATTTACTTAAAATGATATTAGAGTCTGATGCTCAATTTATGAATCATAATAACTCTATTCTTGTTAAAGAGTTAAAATTTTAATTAACACAACGAGTATATGCCGATACAATATTATGTAATATTTATAAAAAAAATAGATTTTTGGTTGGTTCGAGCCGTAAAACCAACTCAGAAAACGTAAATATATACAATCGTAGCGTATATTAATTTTACCGTTTTTCTTTTCGTTGGCCTTTTCTATGATCAAGAGTCATGCGTATAATAACTACGTGTTAATCAACACGCTTAACTGGAATTAGGAGACAATAATTTAGTTAATTACTTATTTATCCATCCCCGCATAACAACAGCCTCCATAACTTGATTAGGTCACCGTCTATATCTTCAAATAAACAAATAAAACCCTAGAGCTAAGCAAGGTATAAATTTGGTCATCCATGAGCTAAGGCTCAGGAATTCATGGACAAGAAAACATGACCATGGTAGCTTCTGTAATTATGAATCCGTCCGAAACAATCCAATTCATGTTCTTGTTTTATTTGCAGTGAAGAGAGCACATGACCCTTCCATGAGTTCAGGCTTGACCTTTTTCTCCCTCTACAAACCTTACTATTAGCATAAAGAAACCCAACCAACACAAAGACAGATGCCGCCTAAAGAGGGAGCAACAGTAATTTTATGAAAAGAACAAGTAATTTATACTGATTAATGCTAAAATCAAATTTCAAGATCTATTTTTAACTGACTTTAGTATAACAATACAATTAATTGCTATACGATTCCAAGTCTGCTATGTACATACACACACATACCATATTATATATATATATACATGTATACATATGCGGATGAGTAAAGATGACATGGGCAATGTCAAACAATCACCTTGAAGATTTGAATATTACCCATTGCATGTGTCCTAGTTAGTTGCAGAAACATGGTATCAAGGACCATACTATTTATTTATGCTGAACAAAAATATTAATATCCAAATGCACTCTGAATATAAAAATTGGGTGATAGGTGAACAAGGGGGCTCCGGCCCCTCGTGTGTAAGAGGCTTTATCATAACCCACCAACCAATATGAAACTGTTGACCTTTTGGGACTACTTAAGCAAAGAAGCGAACGGATGATGTCAGCAGTGATGCTCTTACAATGGCTGCAAGCCATTGTTCAAGAAGACAAAGGGCATATTGTAGTTGGTTACTGCAATGAGACCAAAAGAAGTCAAATAGGGAAACTTTCTCAGCAGCGACACAATGTTTCATTCCCCAAAAGAAAAAAGAAAAAGCTAATGATCTATACATAAGATTCAACGTAACCCCTACCAGACAATTTAACCATTTCTAATAAATCTATCATTTAGGAACTTATAATATGCCCTAACAAGACTAAGATGCATGAACCCCCAGCTACTTGCAGATAAATAAGACAAGTACACTCCTGTACAGTACAGCACAGCAAAAGTCAAAAACCCTGTACTACCATTAAAATATTCCTCATTGTGTTGACACCAAAAAAAAAAAAAATCCAAATGGCTTCCAGAAAAGAGTAATTCAGGGGTAAGTCTTGACTACTCAAATCCAAGAAAGCCATCTCTCTCAATGTTTCGCAGACAATAATATGGTAAAATAGCCAACAACAAAATACCACTGCTGACTTCTCAACAGAAGGTTAATGAGCAGGAACGTGCTTAACAAGGTTGCAAGATTTCAAGATTTTCCCTCTTGAGGCTTCCCAATATATCGCTTTCTCAGCATTCTGTCACAGTTGAGCATGGCACTGACACTCTCCACCACCAAAACAATCTGTTGAAAAAAGATGGAGAAAAGGGTCAGAAGACAGTCAGATGGAGAAGTAAACGAGTGAAAGTATTATGTAAGTACGAAGGCTCTCAAGTAATTAAGAAATAGCTAAAAACAGAAACAATGAAGTTGAAGTTATTTAGTCAAAAGATGGCTATTACTTAGACCTACCTTCCATCAACCACGTAGTTCATTTCAGTTATTTTAGAAAATGGGATAAGATTAGGTCAATGCCGCTAAAATTGGTTCACCAAAAGGACAAAATCAGCACCAAGCAATCACATGTTCAGAAAAAAAAAAACTAATAAAAGCAATTGGACAGAAGCCTCATATAAAAGTAGGACGCTCGGTAAAACCATAGTTAACACAAGAAAACATGTATATATATGTCTATCTATTATTAAATATGCTATATACAAGAAAACATGACAGGACATGTAAACTAGTTATAGATAGAGGTAGCTCTATGAACCTTGTATCTAAATCTGATTTGGCGGTGCTTAGCTGCAACTTTTGGCTATGGCTTTTAAAGTGCCAAAACATTTTTAAACTAAATGGAAAAAATTGAAAATATTTTTTTATCAAAACTAGAACTAAAATATGTTTTTAACATTTATAAACACATAAGCTAATTTCATGTGTTTTGTAAAAACTACTTCTGCTTATAAAAAAAAATGTACACATGGTTTTTCAAAATTATCCTCATATAAATTAATTAATTACACATATGTTTTATCTTCTCCTAATAAAACTTATATTTTTTCTGACAAAGTTAAGTGTATATTTGCAAATAAATTTCACACAAATTTTGTCGTATTTAAGAGTCTGTTTTTCAACAGATTAAGTTTGTATTTCTTAAGCCATTTTGATTATCTCAGCAATTGACATTTCCTTCATTACCTTTCCCAAACTATGGCCTTGCATCAAAGTCCTAGCTCTCCTAATTCCTCTCAAATAGAAGACTAATCCTTACAAACTGATGGAATAATCTTACGAACTGATTATCTCAGCAATTTGCTCAATTAATGGAAGTAATGGGCAAAAAACTGTAGCAGTAGGAGATTCCTCGGTTGGGCAACCCACCACTTATTCTACAAGGCCAGATAAGGATCTTACCCATCCCGACCCGTTTGATACACCTTTTGGGGCTAGTCAAGCCTTTAAACAGACATGCATTACTTCCCTCTTCTTGGGTCATACTTTTGAATTTAGATTCTCATAATTTCTATGATGAGCATCAACTTGGGGATTAGAGGAGGAGAAAAAACCCTTATTTCTACTGAAGAATGTTCAGGTAGAATGTCCATCTAGGAAAGAACTTTTAGCTCATGATCCACTTGTTAGACATGATGATAGCCACTAGCACCAAAAGGTTAGACATGATGGAAAGAACCTTCATCTAATAAGCATAAGCTCTCAAAACTTTACATACAAGCTAGTTGGCTTAGATTATATGTCAAGTTTTGAGGGCTTATGCATTATTGTGAGATAGTGGAAGAATCTTTCATTATTTTTAAGTGGATCTTTTAATGACTTAAGACCTGATAAGAAGAGAGAAGTTGTGTTCTACTTCTTGATTGTCTAAGAAGCTCATCATAAGGCCTTGGAGATCAAGCACTGGTCTAGGTATTCATCTATTCGGTATGGTTTCTCTCAAGTAGGAGATTCAAGGCAGCCTAGAACAATTATGCAGTCAACTTCTAGAGACGCTATTAGCAGGAAAATGGAATATAGTGGCTTTTGTCCTCTATCCTAGTCCCACCTTCCGCATCCAAATGGTCCAATTAGTGAGTTTCATCCTAGTGGTTCCACTGATGAATCTCAAACCACTTCTTCAATAATGTCACCGTTGCCAAAAGAAAGGTCATATGGCAGCTCATTGTTTTCAACGAACTCTCAATGATTGAGAGAGAAATTAGTGATTTGCATGAAAGAGGATCAAATTATTGACGTATTGGAGTTTTCTCGAGAAGAACACGAGTTTGTAATGAATTGAAAGTCAAAACAGAACATTTCAGTATGGTAAGACGTATTCTCTCCAAAGCCACTAAAAAAAAGTGATGAATTGAAGAGGACTAGCATCTTTGATACATGTATTAAGCTCAACAACAGGGCATATATACTAGCTATAGAAGGAGGTAGTACTATCAATCTCGTATCTAAATCTGCTATGGTGGTGTTTGGCCACAGCTTTTGGCTGTTCTTCCAGTATCAATGCACTTTACAACCAAACAAAAAAAAGCCAAAAAAGTATTTCTGATCAAATCTGAAGTTAAACTGTCTTTAACATATATAAGCACATATGCAAGTTTTACATACTTTTTGAAAACTGCTTCTGCTTTTTGAAAAATATATCAATGATTTTCTAAAATTATCTTCATGCAAATCTATTAGTTATAAATGCTCTATCTTCTCCTTCATCTAAAATATTAACATTTGACAATTTTAAGTTTATCAAAATATTAAAATTTTATTAACATTTGATTATCTGATTTTAAAATACAAATAATTTAGTATTTTAACAGTAATATGGAATGTTTTGTACTTATATAATATATGTTTACTGTAAAAAACAAATAACTCAATTAATATTTGTTAATTAAGAAAGAAACAATTTTTATACTCTTTTTTTGGTCATTTCAAAATCTATATTTTTTTCCACCAAGCATAATAACTTCTACTTTTTAATGTGATAGCACTTTCTATACTTATTTTCACCAAAACCAATACAATTTTTTTGGCCGTCTTTGTACTATTTTAAAATATTCAAATTAGTTTTGGTCTTAGTTTTTAACAATTCTGATATCTTTGTACTTTCAAAAATTTTAATTTAATTTTTGACAATTAATGTATACTAATATCGTTGATGGAAGTGCCACATGACCTTAGGTTGAACATGTGTCGCATTCTGTTAGGGTCAATATCCATGTTAGATATTATGTGTCCAATAGCGTGTAAAAAAATTTAATTTATTAATTATTTTTAATAAAAAATTAAAAAAATCAAAACATATGAAAACAACTGTTAATCCACAAAAAATGGCTTCCACTTGGCTTATGGCATGACCATTGTCTGTGGATGAAGTATTTTTTTTTTCTGATAGTTTTTAATTTTTTATTAAAAATAATTAAAAATTTAATTTTTTCATATTAGATGTCACATCATTGGACACATGGCATTTGACATAATATTGACCCAACTAGAATGTGACAAACGTTCAATTTCGGTCTACATAGCCCTTCCATTAATGATGACTGTGTGCATTAAGAGAGAGAAACTAAGTTAGAAATTTTTTAAAATGTACAAGGACTAAAATTACAAAAAAAAAAAATTACAGAGGGACTAATTTGAATATTTTAGAATAATACATTGACCAATTTAATATTTTGATCAATTTCTTTCTAAAAATACTCACTAAAATATTATTTGAACATCATTTTTACCATTAATAGCACAAAAATAAACCACGTCAACCGGGTTCTATAACTAGATTTCGAATGAAGACAAAGACTATCAACCTTTTAAAGTAGCTTGGGTTGACAAGATAACTCTTCAGTCAAACGAGTTCCATAACTAGATTTAGAATGAAGATAGAGACCATCAATCTTTTGAAGTAGCTTGGGTTGACAAGATAATTCTTCAGTCAAATGGGTTCTATAACTAGATTTAGTATGATGACAGAGACCATCAATCTTTTAAAGTAGCTTGGGTTGACAAGACAACTCTATATGTTAATGAGAGATGTCTTTGTAACTTTTCAATTTGGTGACTACAAAGACGAGTTTTGTTTGTTGTGTGTTACACATGGATGGAACACACATCCCTTTAGGTTGACCTTGATTATATGACCTAGATGTGACCAGTCACGAAGGGCGAGAAGGCCCCAAGGACAAGAAAAGAAAATAAGCATTTACAAGCCCCTCAAGTTCCTGTTAGGAAGATTTTTTACACATTTTTAAGTAATAGAGAATTTAAGTGAGAAAGTCACAAGAACAAATTCGCTTGGACCTAGGCTTTACGAAGTTCGATTAAACTTGCTAAAAGAATATGAAATTCCAGAAATGAACAAGTTAACAGAGGATTCTTTGATATTATGCTCTATGAAATTCATAATGAGTTACCACCTACAAAGAAGATTCAACATGCAATTGACTTCATTCCTGAATCTCAAGGACCAAACTTGCCTCACCACAAAATCCTAAATGAATTGAATAGACAAATAGAGTATTTTCTTTTTAAGGGATTTTTCAAACATAGACTCAGCTCATATGTGGTTCATGTACTTCTTACATCTAAGAAAAAATGGAACATGGAGAATGTCATAGATAGTCTAGTTATTGAGAAAATCACCATCTAAGATGGTTTTCCGATTTCTAGGCTAGAAGTTATGTTATATATGCTAGCAGGTTCTAATTGGCATTCAAAGATAGATCTAACAAGTGGTTATCACCTAATTCACAATGGAGTAGGAAATAAGTGGAAAACTACGTATATAACTCAAGAAGGAGTGTATGAGCGGTCAATCATGTCATAAAGGCTGTCAAATGCTCTAGTACTTTCATGCAAGTTATTACTCTTCCAAAACCGTTGATTGGAAAATTTTTTGGTAGTATGTTTTGATGACATTTTAATCTACCACAAGTCTGAAAAGGAGCATTTGGATAATCTTCAGAAGTTACATGAAAATTGTATCATCATATTAGCTCATGTACTTTCAAATTCAAGTTAGGGTTTCAAGAGGATCCTTGATTGGGATAGTTTTAGAATCAAGAAAAATCTATATTATTATTATTTACTATTTATAATTCATTTAGATAATTTTTAGGTAGTTTTTCAAGTTATTGGAAATTTAGGCTATTTACATAAATGTTTAAGTCATAGAAACTTTTGATTTCCACTTCAATTATTTTAATCTTTCCATTATCAGTTATAACTAATTCTGATATAAAGGCCAGTGACTATCAATAAAGAAATAGATGATGATGAATTAAGACTTCGTCTTTTAGGGTTTTATTCGCTGTTATCTATCTATATTTGTTCTTCTTGTTATTATTTGTCTAACCTATCACATTCATTTTACTTCTCCCTATATTTTTTATCTTGATTCCCAATTTCCTCGGTCTATTTTCATTCTTCTATGTCTCACTTAAATATTCTCTACTCCAATATTATTCACAGGACAAGTTAGTTTAACTGCTACTTGTTTTGCACCAAGGATTATCCTTGTTATTAGAATATCTAAATTTCCTATCCGTAACTTCTTTCTTATTTGTTCTATATGATATCAAAGAAGCATGAGCCTTTCGCACTAGTGAAATTAACGGAGCTAGTCAGTATCAATGAGGAGAAGAGAAAGGGGCTATGGGATATAGAAGTTTTTCTGAAGCAAAAATTCCTTGGCAAGACAAATGCTAACTATGGCTAGACACGAGGAAGGCTTACATAAAGATTTTTTGACAGGAGTTGCAAATATTTTATGCAACCATCAATCCACAAGGCAGAACCACCAGAAAAAGAAAGAAGCCACAAAGCCATATGATTGGCGGTAACTTCTTGTATGCTCAGGCCACAATCAGCATAATCCAATCAGTGAAAAGAAATCTTTAGCTCGACCAGAACATATGGGGAATTGGAGGTATCATTCCACTAAAGTTAAGTGATTGACTGGTCCTTCATCTTAGAATTAGAAAACCATACCTTCTGACACATTATCACTCTTCTCACAATTTTTTAAAAATTAAAAATGTATGGAACCAAGGTGGATTAGTAGTGACAACAGAAAGATTAGCAATCACGCCAACATCTCTGTTAATCAACCTCTGTAGAATCAATTACATAAGAAAAGCTACTTGTATCCTCAGAGAGGCTCGCAATTTTAATCATCAATTGGTCTCAGGTTATTGTAAAGAACAAGAAATCATCAAATCCACAAACCTGAAAGCATGCATAGGCGATAGCAGTAGCAAAATAAAAGTTTGCATTGCCAGTACCCTGTAAATTTAGCCTGTCAGTACCAAATAAATGATATTGTGCAACTTATTCTATTTAAATAAGCCTCAGAAAGAGGCCTACCCTCCATATCCACAAGTTGTGCATCAGAGGACTGAGGAGCGAAACCCCAACATATCCACAGAAGAGGAAGAAAGAGAACTGCATGTCTGCAGGACATGAGAGAAGGATTAGATTGCAAAAAAATGGGTCAAAATTCATAAGAAAGAAGAAACAAACAGACCAACGTACTGACTTGCCTGCTAACTCATTAACAAACAACGCCAACAAACCCAAGTACAGAGCTGAATCTCCAACCTAGTTAAGAGAACCATAAACGAAAGGAGAAAACAACTTAGACGATCAACACAGGCAACTTAGACAACAACTAATATCATGAAAATTGCAATTGGATCCAATTGAAACCAATATAAAGCAGAACCAAAATCAGCTAATGATCATTTTTCCAGCATTAATATTAACATGTAGCAAGAAAACCTGTCTTCAAAATTGAGTAATACAGTTATAGTCAAATGTTTTAGCTTCTGTGGAAGTCCTGAAAACATTTTGTTCGGCAATCCTCTAAAATCTTTGTAGCCAGAAATTTATCAGGACAACATCATGGTCCAGAATTTATTCTTGTCATAATTTTAATAATTGTCCAATTAACCCAAGAATTAGATAATTAATTCCCAAGAAATGTGATTAACTCCTAAAATTCAGCTAACACACAGCTGGGGTCACTCCTCAACATGGTGTATGTATATCTCTCATATCCAGCTTGCATATAAAAGGACGAAACGGGCTCTTACATAAACCTTTACTGAATATTTCGGCCAATTGACATCCTGATTTTACACAGTTAATTCTTAGACTCCTATCATTTAAGTTTTTCTTTAATAAAAAACTAATCAATCTTAATATGGTTAGTTCAATCATGAAGCATTGGATTGTAAGCAATACTGATGACAGCTTTGTGGTCATAATACAGGACAAGTAGCTTTATTTCATATAGGTGTATATCTTGCATCAATCTTTTAAGCCATAGGGGCTTCAAAATTCCTCATGCCATCACTCCAGTACTTGGCCTCTTCTTTGACCTCTGCTTTGACCTTCTAAAAACATTTTAGTTTTTGCTTCGCCAAGTAACTAGATTTCCACCAGCAAATGGACAGAACCCCAAAATAGATTGTCTATCATCTAGTGATCTGGACCAGTCAGCATCTGTGTGTTCTCCTATCTTCNNNNAAGTTAATACTGATCTTATGTCAACTGTTTCTCCAACATCTTTCTCAATAGGTAAACCACGACATATCAATTTCTTCAGGTAAATGAAGGCGATATTTTCTCTGGGGAATAAAGATACATTTCTGACCTAGCAATCTCTATTCTAAGAAGGTACTTTATTTTGTCGTAAGTCTTCATTTCAAATTCAGTATGAGATACTTCTTCAAGCCTAACCATCTCCGACGTTATCTCTTGTTAGAAGTATATCATAAACATAAATAACGAGGACAATGATGATTGGCTTTATTAAACCTGTTGAAGCAAGCTCTACGTGCCTATTTTAAGCCAAATAAATTTTTTTTGACCAAAATATCCTCCCTTCAGTTCTTTGACAAGCAAACCCTAGTGCAATCTCGTTAAAGACTTCTTCTCTACCCCTCCATGAAGGTATTCATTTTTTATATCAAACTATTGCAACGACCAATAAAGATTAGCAACACTCGGTAAGATGATTTGGATAGAGTTCATTTTTGCAACTAGTGCAAATTGTCGAGAAATATTCACTAAATAGGAAAATGTATCTTTGTATAATCACGGTAAAGGGTATACTAATAAAATACTCATGTATGTAATTAATTGTATGTTTCTTTTTATTGCCCTAAGAAAGGGTATGTAAAGGAGTTTCTAATTGAATAATACATACCTCATGGTATTAGATCACCAGCTTGAAAAACTCTATACCACTTTTACGAATCCTATTCCGTCTTTGTAGCCAAAATAAGAAAAATCTAAAGGAGGTCAACCTTCATAGCTGGCACCACACTCCAACTGTCTGCCAGCCACGACAAGATAGGCCATCTCCATCACAAGCCAATCTTTCCAAACTGCATGACTAAAAGCAGCCAAAAGCAGCCGCTCAGCCATCAGCCACCAGAACCGCACGCCTGAACCTGCATAGCCTCTGGCTGACCAGCCAAACCTTAGCCGCACGCCCAACAACCTGCACAGCACAGCCACAACCCTCCACCTTGCGCATTTGTCCCTGGCCACCCTTTTGTCCGCAGCCACTACTCCCAGCAGCAGCGCGCCCCTCTCCAGCGACACAGCCAATACAGCCATGCAACTTTGACAGTCGCGCTTGCTTCTCTTGCGCACAGCCATCAGCTGCGGACAACCTGTCCAAACAATGGAGCTATGCTCTAGGGAGTT